AGCGGTTCAAGCTCACCAGCTGCTCCTTGGAAACCCTATACAGGGTCGCTATGGGTAGGAACCAACTCGACAACACTTAACAACAACAACAATAATCTTTACAGATATATTTCATTAGGCAAATCTGCTGCATAAGACCTCGTTAACATATTCAAGAGCAAAGATGTCAATTTGAGGACTAAGGTGCAACTGATCCTAGCCATGGTATTTTCAACAGCCTCCTATGCATGTAAAAGTTGGACAGTGAATAAGGAAGACCACAGAAGAATTGATGCATTTGAGTTATGGTGTTAGAGAAGAATATTAAAGGTACTATGAACTTCCAGAGAAACAAATAAATCTGTGTTTGAAGAAGTGCAACCAGAATGCTCCTTAGAATCCCAGATGTCAGACTTCGTCTCATACTTCAGACATATTATTAGGAGGGATCAGTCCCTGGAGAAGGACATCATACTTGGTAAAGTGGAGGGTCAGTAAAAAGGAGGAAGCCCCCCAACAAGATGGATTGGCACAGTGGCAGCAACAGGCTCAAGCAGCAATTGTGAGGATGGCACAGGACCAGTGGTGTTTTTTCTATTGTATACAGAGTCGCTGTGGGTCGGAGCTGAATCTAAGGCACCTAACAACTACAACAACAAATCTTTACAGAAGCAGACTGCCAGTTGTTTCTCCCAAGTGGGTGCGCCTCGGTGGGTTTTCAGCCACCAGGGATCCTTATACTTACTACTTTATTACTCTGAATACAGACAGAAGAATGATGGGGGTGATGGTACTAACTGGTTAGGGGGATGGAGATAGTGTGTATGAGCAGTTATCAGTGGTGCAGCCTCGTTTCTTCTTGGGGTTTCCATGAGTTACCATATTTTTAACCTGGTAAATACAATATAAGATAGAAGCACATTTTAGAAACAATCAGACCAAAAGAAAAAAGTTCCAATTTATTATAATAATACCTTTTATATATTGTTGTTCTTATTAAATGCTGCCGAGTTGGTTCTAACCCATAGTGACCCCATATAGGGTTTCCAAGGAACCATTGGTAAGCTTGAATCACCGACCTTGTGGTTCAAAACGACTTTGTAGTCCAGCACATTAGCCCACAGCACCACACCAGGACTCCCCTTCTATAGCAAGATCTAAAACTATCAAATGTCATCCTTAAAAAAAACAGTAAAGTAAAGTTACAATCAAGAAACCAAATGAAAAAAGGGTAATGATGACAACAGATATTTGTTGAGCACTTACTGTGTGCTTGGATTTATATGAAATATTTTACATACATTATTTCATTTCAGCTCTGCAATGACCTTTTAAGAGTGTTCTCATTTTACAGCTGAGGAAACAGATTCAAAGACGAAAATGGATTAACAAAGCTACAAGTGACAGAGTCAAGTTTTGAAAACCAGAGGTCCACACCTTTGAATCCCAACACTGCCAGCCGGATGACTTTTTCATGGGTATGAGAATGAGACAGTCCTGTCTCTGGCATGACTGTAAGACCTAATTATAATAAAAGCCATTTTAAAACAAAAAACTGTAGATAATACATAAAATGTCCTATCGTATTAGAATTTCATATTGCTACATCAAGAGCTACTTCCCATTTATAGTCAAAGCTACCAAGGAAAAGTTATCTTTTACAAACAACTCTGTGGATCTAAGAACACCCACATTTTAAAAGAGCTGATGTAAAAGAAAGTATCTAAATATAGTTTGGGACTTGTTTTGACCTTCCCCCTTTCTGAAGTATCTTCTAAAAGAGAAAATAATTCATGTGTGAACGGAATTTCAATGGGAAAGCATTATTCCTTTCCCCAATAAATAAAGTCAAAACAAAAGGACTCTTGAAGAGACACTTCCACTAACATTCTTTTTTTTTTTTTCTGAGTAAAATAAACAAGAGCAAAGGGCACCTTGACTGCTACTTAGGAAATAAAATCAGAACACAGGGAATCTGTAATTCGAATCACATTTACACCTTCTTTCCTTTTTCACATTTCTCATCCAAACATCCTTAGTAGCTCAATAGGCTTAAAAGAATTGGAGCAAGCTAGAGAACAAAGATGAGGGGGATCTAAGAAACCATTTAAACTACTGTTCTCAACATTTTAATAATTTCAAATTGGGTAATATATATTTTTAGGCACTGTACAAGCCACAAATGTAGGAGAAAAGTATAAAAAGTTACTCCGGATATTTTAGAAAAATGGCATTTTTGCTAGACAGTCAGGGATTAATCACTAGTGGGCAAGAAATTTGAGAAAGCACTCATATATTTCCTAGGAAAACAAATATCAAAGTTAACTGTATTAGTTTTAATCAAAGAAAGGCTATATGATAAATAATTACATTTATTAAAAGGAATATTAACATTTGCATTCACCTGTAAAAAATAATTACTTATATAAATATTAACTATGTTATCTCTTGAGATTGAGGATAATTTTAGAAAATAAGATGTCCAAGTACTAAATTCAAAGAAACGAATTGATATATCTCATATATAAATACAGAAATGAAGAAAAGTATTTATGAAGCATGTGATATTTGTAGTTTACTCAATTCAGAAATGAGGCTTTTTTAAAATAAGAATAAGAGATGCAGCTTGATAAAGAGAAAACCAGTTTAATATTCAATTTGATTATTCAGATAAAAGAGTGACCAGAAATACCCAGACAAGAAAAATGTCAGAATTACCTCTGATTCTTACGTGAATGCTTTATGTTATTTTAATTCCAAATAATACCTTCCTGTGACTTTGTATTACTGCAAATATCAAAGGGATTTAGCAATTGTTTTCATTAGCAGCACTGATAGATTTAAGAATGCAGCCCTGTAAGCCCCTTGAGTGGTACTGCTCTGATTTTCCATCCCCTTAAGCCACAGATAAAGATAATAGCAATGAGCAATTCAGAATGACTTAGAAAGATTCTTGCAGTCCTGGTATCAAATCCACGTAAGTATAGCCAATTTCTTCTCTGTAGAGCAGAGTTTCATTTTTTTCCTTATATCTGATCAAATGATATTATACCGATTGATACTCTGGGAAGTACCTCTTCCAAGAGATGACACACACAAGAATTTAGGGCTGTAGCAGCCCTAATGTGTTCCATGCAGCAAGAACCAGCAATACTAAGAAATGGGAAATGCTGAAACAATCAAGATCTTACTGGGGAACTGCCAACGTTTACAGAGATTATATACGAGCATTTTGAGGGCAAAATGTAATAATGCTGATGAGGATTTCACAGCTCACCCCTCCCCCACTCTACACACACTCTCTTGTTTTCAGCAACTGGTATGTAAATTTCTTTTTAATGGAAAGGTGGTACACTGAAACAAGAAAACAAAGATTTAGAAGGGGGAGTCCATTGTTTGAGGACAGGATAAAGCATTGTCCCAAACAGAGTATCAACAGCATGTTTCCATGTAAAATCTTAAAAACCAAGAAAATCCCTGGTGATGCAGTGGGTTAAGCTTTGGGCTGAGCATTCAAAGTCGACAGCTCAGAACTTCCTAGCCATTCTAGGGAAGAAGGACCAGTAATATTCCATAAAGATTTATAGGAAACCCTATGGAACAATTCTCTGTCCTATAGGGTCACTGAGTCCGAATCGATTCAACGACGCTGGGTATACCATCCTATGTAGTAATAGAGACAATTCTGTGTTTATTTAAAACTGGCTATGTAAGTTAAGATGGATTTAGCGTCCCCAAGTGCTCAGAATTTCTTCCTGGGATGACATGAGAACTAAATACAAGTTCACAACCAGCAAAGCAATTAAGCAAAAACTGCTACAGCTCAGCAGTGCCAAGAGCAAGTCGCCCTGCAGTGAAAATTCTGGCAGAGGTTTTTAGGAGCAAGTACTTTCCACAAGTTCTTAGCTCAATCTATAACCTCACGTCTTTGGCTTTATGAATCCAGCTAAAGAGATGCAGTGCTTCTCAGTGAGGTCTTAGTTCCAAACAGAATGCTTTTTTACTACTGCATTCAACCACTACAACCTATTCTTCTGAATGAGAACGTCAACTGAAAACCCCAAAATCTACGTGGTAGGAGTGGGGAGTACAGGGTGAAAGTGCAGCAAAAAAAAAGTGTTTACAGGAATCGTAATCTACACTGTTCACATTTTAATTGCATTTCCCCTCTTTATTCTGATCTATTTCATGCATGTTTTGTGGGTTCCCAGAGCAATTGCCTGTTGCTGTTACATTTTCCAGAGCTGAAACTTCCCTGCGGTTCTGGGATACAGGCTGGACCGTTCTGGGTTCCTTCAAGAAAGGTTTGGAGCAAATCTGTGCGGGTGTCCAGGGACCAAGTCCTAATTACAGAGGAGACTCTCAGCCTTAACCAGTACCCCGTCTCCCACACGAAAGGAAGATAACGCAGGTTAATATGCTTAAAGTACCCAACTTGGAGCTACCAAACCAATCCCTCCCACCAAGCGACAAACGGAGGTCCCCCTACAGAAATTATCACTCGGAACAGAAACACTGTCAGGACGCGCTGTCCCGGGCTGTCTGCTTTCCTAAGCGTCTTCCAACGCATTATTCGAGGCTAGGGGAGCACGAGCAGTAGAAAAGGACAGCTCCGCTGAGCCGCGGGCAGAGTGAGGGCATCCCGGGAGCTGCGCGGCGCTCGAGATGTTTACTCGGAGCATCCCCGAGGCCTCGCCGGGATTCATTCTGCGCGAGTGGAGGACCTGAAATGTCATCTTCCGGCGAAGGACCACCCCGCGAAGCTAAGGAGCACATAGCCGCGCGCAGCAGCATGCCCTCACACCGCGGCCGGAAGCGCCCTTACCTGCCCGCGGTGAATCCGGCAGCCCCTTGACAGGCCCCAAATGCCGTCCCTGGAAAAGTTTCCGAACTTCTTCGCAGCTCCGCACCACCTCGCTCTGGGCAAACCCAACGAGAACCAGGAGGAGGAGACAGCTAAAGCCCACGCGCCAGGTTTGTCCGTCCATCATCGGTGTTCCAGCCGCCCCGTCCTTCGCGGTGGACCCCACTCTCCCCGCGCAATGCGCTGCAGCCGGTGGGAAGGACGCGGCAGGCTAGGTGACACGGGGTGCTGTCTGGCAGCGGGCGATTCGGGACCGTTATTCGGCACCAGCTTCACCAATGAAGATTGAGCTTTCTGCTGAGCAGCTCCGATAGTAAGGCACGACAGTCCTTAGGCTGAACGCCACCAGGTCTCCCCAGCAAAGGCAAACAGAACGACTGTAGATACAGAAGCGCTAGAGCACCGGGCTCAGGACGCCGCAGCCGCGGGCTCGGAGCAACCAACCTGGGATGCGCCCGCACACCGCGCTCTGCAGGCAGGCCACGCCCCTTCCCGCCCCCGGTCAGGCCACGCCCCTGAAGACCACGCCCTCGGCGCTCCTCCGGAGCCCAGCAGGCTGAATTGCTGTCTGCGCGGAGTCCGGCACTGGAGAGCCACCCAATCCAAAAGCAGCACACGGAAAACCAGACTTCTCTCTCCCAGGCCTTTCCCAGTAACGCTAGACTAATAGAGAAGCGCATATACGAGTGTGAATAGGAACAGAGAAGCCAGAAGATGAAATACACCAACTAGAACTAAGACGAACTATTTCACTAATAGATCAAAGTCTTCAGTGCATAGGAATTCTTTGCAAAATTTCATGAAATGGTATCTAGACACAAAACAAAAGGCAGAAATAACAGTTAAATATCTCACCCGTCAGACTTGATAGCACATATGTGTTAAAAACTTACTTTCACACTTGATAGCACATATGTGTTAAAAACTTACTTTCACACTTGATAGCACATATGTGTTAAAAACTTACTTTCTGAAAGTTGAGATTTTTTAAAAGAATTTAAAAGTCAAAGAATTCGATTCAAACATTACCACGATCTTATCATTACAGTGAGTCCTGGTGTGACGCTGTGGGATAAAGCACTAGATTGCAATGTCGGTTTGAACCTCAAGGTCGGCGGTTCGATATCACCAGCTACTCCTTGGAATTCCTACATAGGGTCGTATGAGAACGAACCGACTAGATGGCACTTAGCAAGAACGTTACAGTGGACTCCAGTTTGTTTTCCTAGCATCCTTTTTTTTTTTTTTTAATATTATCATTTTACTTGGCTCTTAGTACCTATATAAGCCCTCTGAGTTTTGCCACTTTAAATTACTTTGAAACACTTCTCAAAGTACAGCTAAGGTCAGGGTGCTCAAGGGACCTAATTCACAAGAAAGATAAAAACATGAAGACTTTAAGTGATTTTAAATAAAAGGTAACTGACTTTTGCCTGTATACAATTTACAAAAGAAACTCTCTAAAAACCATACACAAAGGACCAGGTGCATTTTGTAACAGTGATTGAATAAGCCTGTATGAGTGACAAGAACGTTTCTTCCTCTACAACCAACCAAGGGAAGAGAGCACTCCTCCAGTAGAATACAACTATTTAAAAGAGCCAAGTAGGGGGGAATGTAAATGACTTAACCACTTAAAGGAAATTCCATCTCAAATTTGAACCCTTGCCAAGATAGAGATGAATAATTTTAAGTCTTACTGAAGTGTCATGGGACTTTTAATGGCCATTTTATATCACAGACAGCTCTCTCAGCAGCAGATTACTTGCTTTAAACCCATTGGAGGGCAATGGCTGAGATGCTTCTGCAGAGTGAAATAGTGCTCACTTGACTTTTGACATCAATTTCTTTCCTTGAATACTAGAATTTTTTTTTTGAAAGTCTCTCTTAATAAATGAGAATTGAAAGAAAGGGGGGAAAAAAGCTTTTTTTTTTTTTAATCGAGGCCTTCAAGCAAAGCTTTATAAGTGTGATAAGTGTGTCCCAGAAAAACCTTCCTCATGAATCTCTTGGGAAGACTTCTTGGAAGTCAGCTCAGCCTATGAGAGTAAGGAGAGTGAACATGAGAATGTATATAGTGATTAAGTACCAGATGCTTTTCTAATCTTTAACTCATTTAATCTTTATAGCAGCCCAATAAAATAGTTATTACTATTGTCATTGTTTTACAGATGAGGAAACAGGCACCCAAGAGGTGCGCAAGGTCAAAGTACCTGGTAAATGGCAGAGACAAGAATCAAATCCAGGTATGTCAATCCAGAGATCACAACCACAGGCTCATTTTGACCACTCCATACTACACCAAAGGAGCTCTGGTAGCAGTGGTTACGAATTGGGCTGCGAACCTTAAGGTCAGCGGTTCGAAACTACCAGCAGCTCCACGGGAGAAAGATGAGGCTTTCTACTCCCGTAAAGAGTTACACCCTCGGAAACCCTGTACAGGGTCGCTATGGGTCGGAACCGACTCGACAGCACTTAACAACAACAACAACATACTACACCAAATAGTCTAGCAATTACATTCAGTAATGCCAACCCAAAAGCCAAATCCACTGTCATCAAGTTGATTCCTATAGGATAATGCTCTAGACATCCAGGTTGGTTTGAACTGCAAGGTCAGCGGTTCACACTTAGCCGCCACTCCTCGGAAACCCTATATACAGGGTCACTATGAGTTGGAACTGCCTCAAAGACACTTAACAAAAACAGTGACCCTGTATAGGATTTCTGAGGCTGGAAATCTTCATGAAAGCAGACAGCCTCATCTTTCTTCCAGAGAGGAACTAGTGGGTTTCAACTGCTGATCACAGAGGTTTCCAAGTCTGTAATATTTACAGAAGTAGACTGCTATATTTTTCTGCCACAAAATGGCTGGTAAGTTTGAACCACTGATCTAGTGACTGGCCAAGCGTTGCACGACAAGTGCTCCTTACCTGCCTGATTAGAAGGAGTCTGATGAAGGGAGTTGTGGTACCACAATGGTTAAGCACTTAACTGCTAACCCAAAAGTCAGAGGTTTGGACCCAACAGCCACTCCTCAGGACAAAAGACCCGGCGATCTTATCCCATCAAGATTACAGTCTAAGAAACCATCAGGGTCAATTTGACTCTGTTATATCGAGTCACTGTGAGCAGGAATCGACTGGATGGCACTCAACAACAACAACTGAAGGATAACTCCATCTGATTAAGACTGTGTGTGGTGAATTTCTGCCACCAAACCCCAAAAAAGAAAATTAAGGAATTCTCCCTGATGTCTCATCAGATCAAGGTAGCAGTGGTTGAGAAAAGGCTTTCTTTTCATGAACGAATCCATAGCGAAGTACAACATCCCATAAAAATTGTCAAATCAGGTACCACATTGAAAGTAAAAAGGAAATCAGTAAGAATTGTGGAACAGCCAACATATTTTTAAGGAAAGACTTTACAAGTATATGTTGTTAATAAGTGCCTTCAAGTCAGTTCTAATCCATAGCAAACCCATATGAGGTTTCAACCACGGACCTTTCAGTTAGTAGTCCAGTGCTTATCCTATAGTGCCACCATATATGCATATGAGGGACTTCATATTTATAAGGAATCCTTGAGTGGATTTGTAGGATAAGCACTGGACTGCTAACCATAAAGTCAGTGGTTCAAACATACCAGCTATTCCTTGGAAACCCTATACAGGGTTGCTATGAATAGGAATCAACTTGATGGCACTTAATAGCAGCAATAACATATATATGAGGGGGCTTCAAAAAGTTCATGGAAAAATTAAAATACAATGAAATTTTTCTGCAAAAAAAATCTTAAACCCCCTCATATATACTTATGTACATTAGTGATATAATTCCAATTTTAAAATCTTCATCTTTTAATCATCAGTAGGTACAGGGGCATAAGCATTCAGCTGCTAACTGAAATGTCTTTGATGAAGTGTCCAGACTTGTGCCTATCACTAGTGTCTATGTTTTGGACAGTCTTGGCATTTTAGAGAACAGTGCTCTTTAAGTTAAGATCTGGCCTAACTCTGGTAGGTAGGATTAGAAGTATGGCATTATGCAATTGGTATCGAAATTAAATAAAACAGAATTAAATTGTTGGCATTTTGACTAAATTCCTTCATTCAGTTGCTGTGAGAAGTGAAATTGGTTGATCTGACTTCAGTACAATGATAATTTCATTAAAACCATTGAATAAACAAATTGTTCCTATCTGGAAATTTTAAATAAAATTCATACTATATTTAATTCTATAGGTTTTGTACAAAGGTGAGTCAAAAATGAGCCACACTCCAATTATCTTAGAGCATCCATCCATGTCCACACTTGATGAAAATATTTTGCATGCCCATGAAATTATTCTGTTGAATAAATAAATGATAGTGGATTATGTGGTAAATCAGCCATGGTTCTGCCTATGAAATGATCCATGACAAACTCTGGTTTCAAAAAGTTTGTACGACATGTGTACTGAAACAACTCATGGAAGACCATAAACAGAAGTTTTTGGACATCTGAAAATAAATTTGGGCCGATTCTC